ACTAGGTCAGCAGCAGTTAAAAAGGAAAGGAAGAAAAGATAGGAGTTCTTCAAAAGGTGTAATTGAGAAATTTCAGTTGATATGGGAAGTAAGGGATAAAATCGAGTTAATACTCCAAGGATTCTGCCTCAGGTGAGTGGACAGAGTTATGCCATTCACTGAAGTAGATAACACAAGATATTTTACTGATGGCAAAACCGAGAACCAGGAAAGTATTACTCCAACTTCACACTGCCAATGTGTGTCAGGGTAGAATTGAGAACACATCTAATCCACTGCCTTTCCATCATATCAGCCTGGCCCTTTTTTCTTTCTGTTACCTCTTGGTTAGGAGGTAAATGAAAGTAAAACACTTTCTACAATTTATCACATTGTAACCAACTCATTCCCTGCTATATCTCCCCCTCTCCATGCTTACACACTAATCTTAGTTGTATATTTGGCTAAATAGTAAACAGGTTCAACGATAGGGTAATGGTGCTTGGCTCAGAACATGCAAGAGAAACCAGAAGAAAAATAAGAATTTAATCTTAATCGAAGCAGATAGCCAAAAAGGAGAGAAGAAAGAAAGAGAGTCAGGTGCAGTGGCTCACAACCGTAATCCCTGCACTTTAGGACGCTAAGGCTTATTTTCTATAATAAATAGAAATTATAACTATTTGAGGATTGAGACTTACTAACACATAAAAAAAAAAAAGAAAAGAAAAAAGCATCACGGATTGGGAAATACAGAAAAGTCTTTTCCTTTAGCTACTGTTATTCTGTATTGCTATTACATGCCACAGAGGGCAAAAGAACCCTGAAAATGAAAGGATCCTGAGAAATTAATGGTATTTCTGTTTATTCCGTTGCTAGGCACAAACAGCAGCTGAGATCCAGAACCTTTACACTTAATATAAAAATCCTAATAACGGGCAGACATGGTGGCTCACACCTGTAATCCCAGCACTTTGGGGGGCCAAGGCAGGCAGACCACCTGAGGTCAGGAGTTTGAGACCATTCCGGCCAACATGATGAAACCACATCTCAACTAAATATCAAAAAAAAAAAAAAAAAAGAAAAAATTAGCCAGGTGTGGTGGTGTGTGCCTGTAATCCCAGCTACTCAAGAGGCTGCAGCAGAAGAATGGCTTGAACCTGGGAGGTGGTGGTTGCAGTGAGCCAAGATAGTGCCATTGCACTCCAGGCTGGGCAACAAGAGTGGAACTCCATCTCAAAACAAACAAAATCCTGATAACACTGTATACCATATTTACATATAAATTTGTCATTTGTGGGCACCCTTTCTTCTTTTTCCTATCCCTTCTTTTTTATACTGAACTCTAGCTGAGGGACATTAAAAGGGAGGCAGTATAGCAAAGAAGTTAAGAGCAGAGGCTCTCAAATGGAAGGGGAGGTGCAGAGGAGGGTAGAACACAGGTTAAGAAAATAGAATTAGTAGATGCTGTGGATTTTTTTGGTAGGTCCAGATCCTTATCTTATTAATTGCCAATAAGCGATGATGATGAAACTTTGGTCAAGACTCCAAGACTCACTCACATTTGCCAGATAAATATCTAGAATGTAAGGTCACTAAAGCAGTCCCAAGGGGAATAAACTAAAGCAATACCCCATTATCCTACAGAGAGCCCCACCTTTCTCTCGCCAAATCACTCTCTAATGGACTGAAACAAAACAAAGTTCAAACAAGCTATGTTTTCTAGAAGACTGTATCAAATAACAATTTTAGGAGTCACTCAGCAGGAAGTCAACAGTCTTAATTTTTAATGCACAAAAAATGAAGTGCACCAAAGGGATGGGCTGTTTAAAGGGATGATGTGACAAATCATTTTGAAAGAATCAATGCTAAATCCTAATAGGGAAAGGTTTTTGGCTGGGTGTGATGGCTCACACCTGCAATCCTAGCACTTTGGGAGGCAGAGGCAGAGTGGATCATTTGAGTTTGAGACCAGCCTGACCAATATGGTGAAACCTCGTCTCTACTAATAATACAAAAAAAATTAGCCTGGCATGGTGCTGCCCCCTATCAGGAGGCTGAGGGCAGGAGAATCGCTTAAACCCAGGAGGTTGAGGTTGCAGTGTGCCAAGATCGCACCACTGTACTCCAGTCTGGGCGACAGAACGAGACTCTGTCTCAGAAAACAAAACACAACAAAACAAACAAAAACAAGATAAATGTTTTTATGTACAAAGTTTGCTTAAAGTAAAACCAACCTACAAGTCTGTAAGTAGCTCCCTCACTGGGACTAGCTGTGTAGTAATGTTGTCAGACCATATAAAGGAGCTATAGAGTGGCACATCTTAACTGTATGTAAAACCAGTAACTGTCTAATGTTGAGATAGTAGATACTCCCCAAAACAACCACCACCCCCAAAAAAGAGTTCACATGCATCAATGCCTAAAATTCTCTCACCAGTGCCTCACTCCTTTGGTTTAGGCATTTATATTTCCTACCAACGCTCTTTAGAAAGATACTATAAGTTGGGTTTGTTTTTGTTTTTGTTTGAGACATGGTCTCACTGTGTCACCCCGGCTGGAGTGCAGTGGCACGATCTTTGCTCACTGCAGCCTCCACCTCCAGGGCTCAAGCAATTCTCCTGCCTCAGCTTCCCAAGTAGCTGGGATTACAAGTGCCTACCACTACACCGGGCTAATTTTTATATCTTTAGTAGAGACTGGGTTTCGCCATGTTGTCCAAGTTGATCTCGAACTCCTGACCTCAGATGATCCATTTGCCTTGGCCTCCCAAAGTGCTGGGATTACAGGCATGAGCCTTCAAAAATGTTTCCTAGCATGAGTTTGCCAAACTATTTTGTGATAAGAGAACTGGACAATACAAGTGAGAGTAGTAGATAACCTGATGAGAAGAAAAAGGCCAGGTGCAGTGGCTCACACCTGTAATCCCAATACTTTGGGAGGCCTACGTGGGTGGATCACCTGCACTCAGGAATTCGAGACTAGCCTGCCCAACATGGCAAAACCCTGTCTCTATTAAAAATATGAAAACTAGCGGGCGTGATGGCAGGTGCCTGTAGTCCAGCTTCTTGGGAGGCTGAGGCACGAGAATCGCTTGAACCTGGCAGGCGGAGGGTGCAGTGAGCAAAGACTGCACCACTGCACTCCAGCCTGGAGCAAGATCCCGTCTCAAAAGAAAAAAAACATAAACAAAAACAAACAAAAAACCCACAGGAGAGAAGGAAGGATTAAACTGTGGAGTGCTGTGGTCATCCCTGGGAAAACTGGTCAACTAGGACCACTTGAATCTCCCCCATCACTCAGATATTGGGTATTTAACAGAAGCTTAAAATCTTTCAAGAAAGTATCACAGCCTCTTGTAACAGTTCATCTTGAGAGGGGATACAATGTGTCAAAAGAGTGAATGCTAAGATCTAATTCTCCTTCAACAGTCTAGTGACCATGGGCAAGTTTCTTGGTCTTTTAAGCCTTAGTTTCTTAAATTAAAAAAGACTGTAAAGTATTAGAGTCTCTAATGTTCTTCTAACTACAAAAAGTTACATATTTTCCATATATCTTCCATCATGTTTGTAGCACTTTTTTTTTTTTTTTTTTTTTTTTTGAGACAGAGTCTCACTCTGTCGCCAGGCGCCAGGCTGGAGTGCAATGGCACAATCTCGGCTCACTATAACCTCCGCCTCCCGGGTTCAAGCAATTCTCCTGTCTCAGCCTCCCGAGTAGCTGGGACTACAGGCGCGTGCCACCACGCCCAGCTAAGTTTTTTGTATTTTTTAGTAGAGACGGGGTTTCACCATGTTGGCCAGGATGGTCTCAACCTCTTGACTTCGTGATCCAACCGCCTCGGCCTCCGAAAGTGCTGGCATTACAGGCGTGAGCCACCGCGCCTGGCCTTACTAATTTTTTTTTTTTTTTAAGACAGGGTCTCACTCTGTTGCCCAGGCTGAGGGCAGTGGCCCGATTGCGTCATACTGCAACCTGGATCGCCTGAGCTCAAGCCATCCTCCTATCTCAGCCTCCAGAGTAGTTGGGACCACAGGTGTACGCCACCACGCCGGCTAATATAGTGCTAATTTTCACAGATCAGTTTAACTTTTCTGTTTTCTTTTTAGTGAAATTACTCAGCTTCCTCTATATGTCAAAATTTATTTCCCCATTTTTCTCAATGCCCTTGATCCCTCTTTCCCTATGCCCTTCTGTCACTTGCATTTCCATTATTTCTTCACATGTTCAATTTCTCCCTCTATTGGCTTCTTTCCCCTGGACATGCTCTTCTTGCTCAACCTAAAACTGCCACTCTATGACTCGTAAGGTCAATGTCTCTTTTCTCTCCTCAAAATTAATCTCTTCCTTATTCACGTTCCAAGGTCTTTTTTGCCAATACTTTTTTTTTTTTTTTTTTTGCCTTTAAAGAAGCCAAAAAAGAGCTTCTGGCGCTCTTCTCTACCCAGAACCTCCCTCCCCAAATACGATTCAACACTTTCCACAAACGAGCGTTGTTGGGAATGCTTTTTCCGCAAGGGGCAGAACTACCCGCATTTCCCAACCTCGCCTTACACTACAGTCTAGGGGGGAAAAAGGTCAGTAACAGCAGTCTAATCTCCCACAAACGGGCCTGGGACAAACTTACCCTACAAACACTCAAAACACAGTAAGTACCCTAAACACCATCTCAGATCCCCGCTTTCCAAGAACTCACGGCAGAACGGTAGTGGCTGTTGCCTGGAAGGGGCTCTATTACTCTCGTACAGTCCCCAGCCAGCACCTTCACCACTCCCGCGGCCAAAAGCGCCACCTCACAGCGGTAATCTGTCGCCACCGTGGGCAACCCCTTGATGACGCCACCGCCGCCTCCACGCACCTGAGTGACCATCCCCGAAGCTATGAAGTGGCCAAGCACTAGCCCAGCGCCATTAGGCGCGGATGCCGGGTCCCAGGGATTAGCAGTGGCCATGGCTCGGACGCACTTCCAGCGAAGGCATCCGGAGTGAGCGGGAACGCAAAGCGAACGCGCGGCGCGGCTCGATGACGTCACAGAGCGTTCCCGCCCGGGACTAAGCCGGGGAGCGAGTCCCGGCTACTGCGGGTCCTTGGTCTTCTCCTGCGGAGCGTCCGGCAGCTGAGCGGTGGGAGGCGAGTCCGGGGCTCCATGATCTTCCATAGACTCCCAGAGGCGCCTGGCTTCCGCACAGCTGCAAAGGCGGCAGGGCTTGGTGGTCGGGATATCTGTTCTTCCTCTTCTTCCTTGTCGCTCCTGGGTCGGCCCCCAGGAGCCAGGGATAGGCGGGAGATGACAGGTGGGGCAGGAGACTCTTCGGAGGCCGACGGGGTGGATAGGGCGGTGACATCTGCGCTTTCTTCCCCCAGGGACCTGAGCCGCGGCGCTAGGATGGGAAACAGTGCCCTTCGCGCTCATGTGGAAACGGCGCAGAAAACTGGTGTCTTTCAGCTTAAGGACCGAGGGCTGACCGAGGTGAGACTGGGAGGGACACGACCTAGGAACTTAAAGGAAGAGGGACGGCGGGGGCGGCGAACTTAATCGGTGTGGGATTCTCCACGCTGTGAACTCCTTTCTCCAGTTCCCCGCAGACTTGCAGAAGCTGACGAGCAATCTCAGAACCATCGACTTGTCCAACAACAAGATCGAGAGCCTACCGCCTTTGCTGATAGGAAAGTTCACTCTGCTGAAGAGCCTCTCCCTGAACAACAACAAACTGAGTATGGCTCTTGCCTGGAAAGCTTTTGCTAGTGATCAGCTGTTACCAGGGGTGGTTTTCTCTTACAAGCTGATTTTTGTTTTTGTTATGAACCGTGCAGGAGGGCTCAAGTTGCAGAATGCTGAAGCCCTTGAAGCTTTCTTTCTACTTCTTGTAATTAACATCTATGAGCCTCCTTGGGTGTTATAATAATTGTTACTGGGTTAATTTGGACTTGAAAGGGAAGAACATTTTGGGGATGTAATGTAAACAAAGCTACCTAACTTGGAATTGGGGATGAAATGGGAAGGGGAGGATCTTCCAAATCTCACAGAATTGCTGTCGGATTGTGCCTGAGCCTCTTTACAAAAGGAGCCCGTTATACTCAAATGCTCTCCTGCATTTTGATGGCACCTTCACCTTCTAAAGACTATGTTGGTAAAATGCAATACCTAACAATGGCACATGAGGGAATTCTACATATACTAACAAGAGGTGAGGCAGGCTGCCATAAAGTCTATAAATAAACTTCATTAAAGGTATTTTCAGCTCTATCAGATTTACATTTAAAAAAATTTTTTTCTTTGCCAGCTGTTCTGCCTGATGAGATATGCAGTCTGAAAAAACTAGAGACATTAAGCCTAAACAACAATCACCTGAGAGAGCTGCCATCTACCTTTGGGCAACTCTCTGCCCTCAAGACCCTGAGCCTCTCTGGGAACCAACTGGGAGCACTGCCTCCCCAACTTTGTACCCTACGGCACCTGGATGTGGTGGATCTCTCTAAGAACCAGATTCGAAGTATACCTGACACAGTGGGAGAGCTGCAGGTCATCGAACTCAACCTCAACCAGAATCAGGTTTAGAGCTTAAGGTTTTTTTCCTACAGCATATGTGTGGGTTCATGGTCTCCTGATAACCTCTTAACCTCTTGTTTCCTAAACCGCCACCGTAGAACTAAGTGTCAGAGGCTAGATGAGAGGTTTCCTCTATATGCCGAACTAATTTAAAAGCGCAAAGTGCTTTTAAAAAGCCAAAGTGCTTCTATAGGCTGAACTAATTTAAAAGCGTAAAGAGTTAGTTGAGACGCTGGATGTTTTTATTGCGTAGGTGTTTTTGGAAGGGTAAAGTAGGTAACAGAGAGAGATCATTTCAATAGTTAAACTACTGTATCACAAATCTTGAAGAATTCTTCAAATCCTTCTCAAATATGTCCCTAACCAGCTAGCCAGGAGCTATGTTAGGGATATAGTGTGGAAATGAGGCATAAATTGAGGTTCTCAGAGTGGAGGTCAGAGGTAATTCAGTTTTGTTTTTCATTTTGTGGGGCATTTTGACATCTTTGTTAAGTGTGTCTCCTGCTTTTGCTGAAGAACATTAATTGATAGGCTTTCTGGAGATAGCTCATTTCACTGTTCAACAGCTTTAATTATAATATTTGAAATTTGTTTCCATTACTTTGGAAGCTTTCAATTAATATTTGTGTGGAAAACCAATCCAAAGATTCTTGTCTAGGCATAAAGGCACAAGTGATGAAACATTAAACACTGTGAGACTGAATGGCCTTTAGTTTTCTAGTGTCTGTACTTCTAGATCTGCATGGTCCATTAAAGTAGGCACTAGATACATGTGGTTATTACTTTTCTAGATTGTAGTGATTTTACATCATAATGAAATTCAGTCTGTCTTTGAGGGATTGGCCTCATGTTTTTTACCTTAAGTGGATATTCTTGTATGTTATAGAGCTTTTTTAGGGAAAAAAACTGAATCAGTTAAGCAGCAAGTATCAGTTGAGGATTCGCTCCATATTAACCTCTGCTACTGCCTTTATACAGTGGTTCTCTGACTTTAGTATGTGTCAGAATAACCAGAAAAGCTTGTTTAAAGAGATCGCTAGCTCCTAATCTCAGTGTTTCTGATCTGGTACATCTGGGATGAAGTCTGAGAACTTGCATTGCTAATAAGTTATCATAATTTCTAGTAAGTGATGATCTGAGATGATACTAGGCAGAATCAAAGAATTGGGTGACTTTTAGTATTTAAAGGGCAAAAGAGTGAATCAAAGACAATTGCTTGGTATTGAGCTTGAGGGCCTAAAGGAACAGTGGTGCTATTGAGAATGGACATGCTGAATTGTCTGTGTTGAATCTTGTAAATGGAAATGTCTTCCTGAAAGTTGGAGACATGGGAGCAGAGTAGAGATAAGAGTGTAGATACAGATCTTGAGGTCGTAAAGAAAGCGATGGACTTTAATGAATGAGCTTTCTAGGAAAAGTTTAGAGAGAAGATGACATATGAAGTATTAGGGACAGCTACTTGAAAAATGCCTGTAAAAACAAGAGAAGTAAGGAAAAACCCAAAAGATAGAAAAACCAAAAAGAACAAAAAGAAGGGGTTTGAAGGAAGGGATAGATAGTACAGTTAAATGCAATAGGTACTAAGGATGATGGATTCTTGAATTTGGTAGCAAATTGGTCAGTATCTACATACGCATAAAACATTGGCAGTAAATGTACCACAGTGTTTATGGCGGTTATTTCTGGGTGGTGGCTTCCAGGTAAACTTTTTTCTTTAAATGTGTGATTCTCAACTTTTCTATAATGAACATACAGTGCTTTTATCATCAGAAAATTTTGTTCCCAAAAAGCCACTGGTGACCTTCATAAAAGCATTTTTTTTTAAGTGGGGGCGTAGTAGCAGAAGCTAGATAACAGAAGCTTCTGGAGTGAGTAGGCAGTGAGAAAATGGAGGTGGTAAAAGAAGGGAAAACTAGAACAAATAGTCAAAGATTTTTTTGTTTTGTTTTAATGTACTAAAAGTAACCAATATAGTGCTTATGCTTTTTCCTGTTATTCTTTTTTGGTTATTCAATAGATATCTCAGATCTCAGTAAAGATATCTTGTTGTCCACGCCTTAAAATTCTTCGCCTGGAAGAGAATTGTCTTGAGCTCAGCATGCTTCCACAGAGCATCCTCAGTGATTCCCAGATCTGTCTGCTTGCTGTGGAAGGCAATCTTTTTGAAATAAAGAAACTTCGAGAACTGGAAGGCTATGATAAGGTATGAATTAATATACTTCTGCATTTCTAGTCACTACCCCAGAGAAGACAGTGGTGAAGTAATCCACATAACTGTTTATAGCTAATGTCAACAGGATTTGTTCTTCCCCATTTTGGAAGTAGATTTAAAGAATCAGTTTAATGGTATTGCACCAAGATGACTTTTTCTCTATAGACAGCTTATTGTAAACCATCTTTGTCTTCATCTTTGTCTTTTGATTTTTTTTTTTTTTTTTGAGATGGAGTCTCAGTCTGTCGCCAGGCTGGAGTGCAGTGGCACAATTTCAGCTCACTACAACCTCCACCTCCCAGATTCAAGTGATTCTCCTGCGTCAGCTTCCCGAGTAGCTGGGACTACAGGCATGTGCCACCACACCCAGCTAACTTTTTTAATTTTGGTAGAGACGGGGTTTCACCATGTTGGCCAGGATGGTCTTGATCTCCTGAACTTGTGATTCACCTGCCTCCACCTCCCAAAGTGCTGGGATTACAAGCATGAGCCACTGCACCCAGCCCATCTTTGTCTTTTGATGTTTCCTGTTAACATAAAAAACAAAATTTACTTTTAACTATATACTTTTTTTTTTTTTGAGACACAGTCCCACTCTATCGCCCAGGCTGGAGTCCTGTGGTGCAATCTCAGCTCACATCTCAGCGCCTCAACTTCCACCTCCCAGGCTCAAGGGGCTCATGCCTCAGCCCCTCTGGCAGCTGGGACCACAATCATGTGCCAGTATGCCTTGCTAATTTTTATAGAGATAGGGTTTCACCACATTTGCCAGGCTGGTCTCAAACTCCTGAGCTCAAGTGATCCACCTGCCACAGCCTCCCAAAGTGCTGGGATTACAGGCGTGAGCCATTGTACCTGGCCCTACGTGCTTTTTGTTTATTTTTTGAAACGGAATCTCACTCTGCCACCCAGGCTGAAGTGCAGTGGCACAGTTTCAGCTCACTGCAACCTCTGCCTCCTGGGTACAAGCAATTCTCCTGCCTCAGCCACCCGAGTAGCTGGGACTATAGGCAGGTACCACCATACCCAGCTAATTTTTTGTCTTTTTAGTAGAGACAGGGTTTCATCATGTAAGCCAGGATGGTCTCCATCTCCTGACCTCATGATCTGAGTGCCTCAGCCTTCCAAAGTGCTGGGATTACAGGCATGAATCACAGCGCCCAGCCTATTTTTATTTTTTTTGGAGACAAAGTCTCGCTCTGTCACCAGGCTGGAGTGCAGTGGCACAATCTCAGCTCAAGTGATCCTCCCACCTCAACCCCCTGATCAGCTGAGACTACAGGCACCACCATGCCTGACTAATTTTTCTATTTTTGATAGAGACAGGGTTTCACCATATTGCCGAGGCTGGTCTCAAACTCCTAGGCTCAAGCCATCCACCTACCTTGGCCTCCCAAAGTGTTGGGATTACAAGTGTGAGCCACTGTGTCTGGCAAAAACTAGGTACTTAAATGTGCATTTACAGCAGTTATATTTTGTAGGAAGTAAAAGACCATTTCCAATAAAAACCAAAATGAAGAAATAAATAAGTAGCAAATAGTTAGACTTATATTTATTTGCTCATGCCAAAATATCCCTTATGTATTCTTTCATATTTTTTAGTACATGGAGAGGTTCACAGCCACCAAGAAGAAGTTTGCATGAAGTTCTCCAGGACTATGGAAACCTTTACAGCATACTGATTTAGAAGCTCTGTTGGAATGTGGCTGAATCAGAGCCTCCTGTCAGGGGTATCTACAGTAAGGAGATGATACTCCAGGAGATAATATTTCACTCAATGATCTTTTTTCTTTCAGGGTTCTTCTCAAATAAGCTAAAAGAAAAAGGATCAGGAGACAGGAAAAGTCTTCCATTTTAAGCCACGAGTGGGGCAATAGACAAGGTTGATCTTCAAAACCATCATTAGTTTGGCTTTAAGAAACCAGTAGCTAACTGCTATTTATATGGTGAGGGGGTGCTGCCTGGTAACAGAATAGCTTCACACCACAGCTTGAGATTTTGTTTAGTTTCAATGTGTGAGCTTTCATAAAGTCAGTTGCCATTCCATCTCTGTGTTAACACTTCATATTTTTATGAAATTCAAATAATTTGTGAGAGGCTGGCATGGATCTCAGGATTTATTATTTTTATTCTAGTCCATCAGTTCAATCACAGTTTTTATACTATGACTTTAGGATGGATATAATAAATATGTGACTGTTTGTCTTGATTAAAAGTACACTTTGGGCCAGGCATGGTGGCTCATGCCTGTAATCCCAGCACTTTGGGAGGCCAAGGCAGGTGGCTCACTTGAGGCCAGGGGTTCAAGATTAGTGTGGGCAACATGATGAAACCCCATCTCTACTAAAAATACAAAAATTAGCCGGGTGTGGTGGTGCATGCTTGTAATCCCACCTACTTGGGAGGCTGAGACAGGAGAATCGCTTGAATCCAGGAGGTGGAGGTTGCAGTGAGATGAGATTGTGCCACTGCACTCCAGTGTCGGGGACAGAGTGATACTCCGTCTCAAATTTAAAAAATTAAAAAATAATTTTTTTTAAGTGTGCTTTGTTGGCTGGGTACGGTGGCTCATGCCTGTAATCCCAGAACTTTGGGAGCCCAAGGCGAGTGGATCATGAGGTCAGGAGTTTGAGACCAGCCTGGTAAACACAGTGAAACCCCATGTCTATGAAAAATACAAAAATTGTCCTGGCATGGTAGCATGCGCTTGTAATCCCAGTTACTCAGGAGGCTGAGGCAGGAGAATTGCTTGAACCCAGGAGCCAGTGGTTGCAGTAAGCCGACATTGCGCCATTGCACGCCAGCTCTGGGCAACAGAGCAAGACTATCTCCAGAAAAGAAAAAAAAAAATGTGCACTTTGTCAAGAGAAGCACCAATAGACCTCCAAAAAATGCTCTCCAAGGCTGCAGTAGCAAATTCTTTACTATTGCAGGTGCCTTATTGGTAGAGGACTCTGAAGAGCTAAAACTGTATATGCAACCCTTGTAAGATAAAAGAGGTTTTAATAATCAAGCTTTTGCAGAAGATTAGTTAGAAATAATGTCTAATTTCTGATAACCTTTCCCTTTTTGTATTTATAACTCTGCTAACCAAATTACCTACCAATAAACCATTACTATAATATTTTAAAACAACCTGTGTTTATCAAGCTTAATCTCTGAGTGAGAGAATATACTAAATAAAGAATTCTTAATTTTTAATGATCTTTGGCTGGAAACCTTCTTTAAAGGTTAATCCTTTAAAGAAGGAGGACAGGAGAACTTTAACCTATAAATGGATTAGGAAGACATGTTTCATGCTCATGTTCATTGTGTAAGTTGTGAAATACCTTCATGTGACATAAACATTTTGTGGTACTAGAACTATGCTTATTAAGAGAGTCTGAAGGTACAAAGGTAGAGGATTTCAGGTTGTCATTACCTTGAACATTTAGAAAGCTACCATTTTGGTCATTTTCTGGTTTTATCTTAGCTACAAAGCTATTACTAACTATATATCAACAGTTCTCAATAATGATTAAACCTAGGTTATCCATTAAGTCAATAAATCACACAAACCTACTATTTAATCTCTATGACAAAATCTTTCTGACATAAATCTGGTCTAGGTATTCTCTTTTTCCCATATGTTACTTACTTTCTTTTTTGAGACAGAATCTCACTCTGTCACCCAGGCAGGAGCACCGTGGCACAATCTTAGTTCGCTGCAACCTCCACCTCCTGTGTTCAAGTGATCTCGTGCCTCAGTTTCCTGAGTAATTAGCTTATTTTGTTTTTTGGTTTTTTTTGAGACAGAGTCTTGCTCTGTCGCCAGGTGCCAGGCTGGAGTGCAGTGGCGCGATCTCGGCTCACTGCAACCTCCACCTCCCGGGTGTAAGCAATTCTCCTGCTTCAGCCTCAGGAGTATCTGGGCCTACAGGCATGCACCACCACACCCAGCTAATTTTTGTATTTTTAGTAGAAGGGTTTCACCATGTTGGCCAGACTGGTCTCGATCTTGACCTCGTGATCCACCCGCCTTGGCCTCCCAAAGTGCTGGGATTACAGGCACGAGCCACCACGCCCAGCGGGAATTGGTATTAACAGGCATGCACCACAATACCCAGATAATTTTTGCAGGTTTTTATTTTTTGAGGCGGAGTTTTGCACTGTTGGCCGGGCTGGAGTGCAGTGGCGCGGTCTCAGCTTACTGCAACCTCTGCCTCCCGGGTTCAAGCTATTCTCTTGCCTCAGCCTCCTGAGTAGCTAGATTACAGGCGCCTACCACCACGCCTGGCAAATTTTTTGTATTTTTAGTAAAGACAGCGTTTCACTGTGTTGGCCAGGCTTGTCTCAAACTCCTGACCTCATGATCCGCCCACCTCAGCATCCCAAAGTACTGGGATTACTGGTGTGAGTCACCACACCTGGCCCATTTTTGTATTTTTAGTAGAGACAGACTGGTCTCAAACTTCTGGCCTCAGGCACTCCACCCACCTTGGCTTCCCAAAGTGCTGGGATTAGAGGTGGGAACCACCACACCCAGCCTCCCATATGTCATCTTCTGTTTCTCACTTTGGAAGAGCTACAGGGGTACTAGTTTATCGGTATCAGTTGAGGAGTTTTGTTTTTTCTAAATTTTAATGTTTAGTTTATTAAATTTTTTTTTTTTTTTTTTTGAGATGGAGTCTTGCTTTGTTGCCCAGGCTGGAGTGCAGTGGCATGATTTCAACTCACTGCAACCTCCACCTCCCGGATTCAAGCGATTCTCCTGCCTCAGCCTCCTGAGTAGCTGAGACTACAGGCATCTATCACCATGCCCAGCTAGTTTTTGCATTTTTTTTTAGTAGAGATGGGGTTTTACCACATTGGCCAGGCTGGTCTCAAACTCCTGACCTTGTAATCCACCCGCTTCGGCCTCCCAAAGTGCCTAATCTTATTGATGTACTGGACAATTAACATTTCTCTAAGTATTTTATCAATAAATCAGAACTTACACATATATATATTTTTTTGAGACAGAGCCTCACTCCGTCACTCAGGCTGGAATACAGTGGCACAATCTCAGCTCACTGCAACCTCTGCCTCCCAGGTTCAAGCTATTCTTGTGCTTCAGCCTCTTGAGTAGCTGCTACTACAGGTGCATGCCACCATGCCCTGCTAAATTTTTGTATTTTTAGCGGAGAAGGGGTTTCATCATGTTGGCCAGGCTGGTCTCCTGACCTCAGGTGATCCATTCGCTTTGGCCTCCCTAAGTGCTGGGATTACAGGCGTAAGCCACCTCTCCCGGCCAGAACTTACACATTTAACAATGTAAATGTTTCCATTTAATTATTATTATTATAATTTTTTTTTTGAGACGGAGTTTCGCTCGTTACCCAGGCTGGAGTGCAATGGCGCGATCTCGGCTCACCGCAACCTCCGCCTCCTGGGTTCAGGCAATTCTCCTGCCTCAGCCTCCTGAGTAGCTGGGATTACAGGCACGTGCCACCATGCCCAGCTAATTTTTTGTATTTTTAGTAGAGACGGGGTTTCACCATGTTGACCAGGATGGTCTCCATCTCTTGACCTCGTGATCCACCCACCTCCACCTCCCAAAGTGCTGGGATTACAGGCTTGAGCCACCGCGCCTGGCCCCATTTAATTATTAATTGGAGTTTAATTCAGGCTCTTAATCAGAATCAGCAACTACCAGCCTTCACAACTTGGACCCAGACTTACTTCCCTTCCTTCACTCTCATTGCCTGCCCACCCATATCAGATTATTCTACTGTCTAAACCCATGTTGCAGTCTCTATCCTCTAACTCCCTTTATACAGCTTGTCCCTCAGTGTCCATGGAGGACTGGTTTCAGGACATTCATGGATACCAAATCCATGATGCTCAAGTCCCTTATACAAAATGACATGGTATCTTCCTGATACTCTAAATCATCTCTAGTTTACTTATAATACCTAATATGATGCCTATACATCACTTCATTTGCATAGATTCGACACAGTATTTGATGCCAAATTCAAGTTTTGTTTTTTGGAATTTTGAGGCATTTTCCCCCTCAAATATTTCTTATCTGCAGTTGCATCCACCGATGTGGAATCCATAGATACATAGGGCCAACTGTATTGTTCACTCCGTCGGGAATGCCTTTTTTTTTTTTTTTTTTTGAGACGAAATATTCTTTCACCCAGGCCAGAGTGCAATGGCTCAATCTCGGCTCACTGCAACCTCTGCCTCCCAGGTTTATGCGATTCCCCTGCCTCAGCCTCCCCAGTAGCTGGGATTACAGGCACCCACCACCATACCTGGCTAATTTTTTGTATTTTTAGCAGAGATGGGGTTTCACCATGTTGGTCAGGCTGGTCTCAAACTCCTGACCTCAGGTCATCCACTGCCTCGGCCTCCCAAAATGCTGGAATTACAGGCATGAGCCAACAAGCCCAGCCTGCCCGCTCTTAATTAACATCCTCATTCTCTACCTCTAAGCCTCTTTACTGAGTCTAAGCCGAATTAACTGTTCACCCATCTATTACTATAGCACTTCTACATTCTATATTTATCTTTTGTGATAGACTGCACTATTTGAGAGCAAGGACTATATGAAGTAATATACCCAAAGTTATAGCAAACAAGATTTAGATGGAAGTATGAGATAATCAAGTAGACCAACTTGTGGTCTAGAGAGTCGGATTCTAGTTTGACCTAGTGGGTTAGTTTGGTCTAGCCTTGAACTCCTGGGCTCAAGTCATCCTCCCATCTTGGCCTCCCAAAGTGTTGAGATTACAGGTGTGAGCCACTGCCTGGCTTTAAGTCATCTAATTTTTTTTTTTTTTTTGAGATGGAGTCTCTCTGTGTCACCCAGGCTGGAGTGCAGTAGTGCAATCTCAGCTCTCTTTAACCACCACCTCCTGGGTTCAAGTGATTCTCCTGCCTCAGCCTCCCAAATAGCTGGGATTACAGGCACCCACCACCATGCTTGGCTAATTTTTGTATTTGTAGTAGAGACGGGGTTTCACCATGTTGGCCAGCCTGGTCTCGATCTCCCGGCCTCAGGTGATCCACCTGCCTTGGCCTCCCATAGTGCTGGGATTACAGGTGTGAGCCACTGCACCCAGCCTACATATATTTTTTGAGACATGCTCTTGCTCTGTTGCCCAGGCTAAAGTGCAGTGGTGTGATCACAGCTCACTGAAGCCTTGAACTCCTGGGCCCAAGCTGTCTCCTCCCACCTCAGCCTCTTGAGTAGCTGGGACTACAGGTATGTGCCACCACACTCAGCTAATTTTTAATTTTGTCGAGAGATGGGGTCTTGTTCTGTTCCCCAGGCTGGCCTCAAACTCTTGGGCTCGAGCAATCCTCATGCCTCACCTTCCAAAGTGCTGGGATTACAGGTGTGAGCCACCACATCCAGCCCAAGTCTCCTAAATTTTTTATAGCTTGGTTTGGAAGGCAGTGTCTTAAAGTCATGGGTCCTGGAGTCAGAAAGATCCAGGTTTGAATCCAGTCTGTCATTTATTAGTTTTATGAATTTGTGTAGTTTCGTCTCACTTGTAAATACAGGAAATAGCTCCTACCTCTCAGGTACATTGTAAAAAACTATATAGAAGCACTTAGCATAGTGGCCATGACAGAGTAAGCACTCAGTAAATTGTGCCATTTATCTTATCTGTAAGGCATGAAAGTAGAATTTTACAAGTTGTATTGAAATAGAAAGCTTGGAGTGGACACTACATTAAAAGGATAAAAAATGGAGCCAGGCCGAGGCAGGCATCTGCAGTCCCAGCTATTGAGGAGGCCTGAGGCTGGAGGATTCCTTGAACCTAGGAGTTTGAGGCCAGCCTGGGCAACACAGTGAGATTATGGCTCCAAAATAATAATAATAATAATAATAGGCTGCTCTGCCTATGGAGTAGCCATTCTTTTATTCCTTTACTTTTTAAATAAACTTGCTTTTACTTTATGGAAAAAATAATAAATTTTAAATGACTAGATGACAAACTTTGAGTATCAGTCTGAGAAAATCTGATTAGGAATGTAATTGCAATAACCTAAACTTTTGATAAGAGTGACCTAAAGAAAACAGCACTTAGATAAGCCACTTATTTTTCCTTTTTCACTTTCCTATTTTTGTAATATATATTTATTTGTATTTATGGGGTACATGTGATATATTGAGACATGCATAGAATGTATAATCAAGTCAGGATATTTATGTTATTCATTATCTCATTTATCATTTATTTGTGTTGGGAACATTTCAAATCTTCTAGCCATTTTGAAATTTACATTGTTGTTAAGTATAGTCACCCTACTATGCTATCAAGCATTAAAACTTATTCCTTCTAACTGTATGTTTGTATCCACCCATTAAACTACCTTCCATAATCCCCCTGCCCTGTATACCCCCTTCCCAACCTCTAGTAACTATCATTCTACTCTTTACCTCCATGAAATAAATTTTTTTAGCTCACACATAAGAACATGCAATATTTTTTTTTTGTGCCTAGATTATTTCACTTAACACAATGACCTCCAGTTCCATGGATACACCTCCACTGTATCCATGTCACTGCAAACAATAGGATTTCATTCTTTTTT